AATTCGGGCATCTTGTGCCATCGCCGTTGACGATAGAGGTGATAGCACTTCCCCTCTTCCTCGCGCAGGTCTATCATTCACTCCTGCCAGCTCGTTTGTACATAGATCATGCATATGGTCGCCTCCCCCAGCCCTGTACCTTACCGCCGCCGCTCCTGTATTCGTCTCAGTCGATCGTGAAGTGCCGATTAATCCCACTATGTCGGAACCGTTTTTCGTTTCCGCCTCCTATCTTTTTCCGTTCCTCATTTCCTCTCAGTACTTATAGAAGCCTGACATCGAATGCAGGATAGCTGTGCAATCAATTTGATTGCCCCTTGCTCTCTCTCTCTTCGAGCTCCTCTCGCCTACTCTGGTCCATCCACCCACTTCATCCTTCACAGATCAAGATGTCGGCCGCTATTCGCAGGGGAGGTCCTGTCCAGGTAATGGATTATCCAGTGCGGGCGGCCCTTGGTCTGACCCACGTTTTATGACGTAGAACGCAGTCTCCGGCGGCGGCATGACCTACACGCAGGAAATCTGCAGCGAGCTCTCGTGCAGTCCGACCGGTGCGTATGCCCATTTCCCCCATCTATTTGGTTCCAGAGACTGATGTATGTTATAAACAATGCCAGGCCTCTCGCTGCAATGCGTAAACGACCTGATGGAGGGCTACGACATGCGAAACGCCACCGTTTTCATGGAGTGTGGCGGGTCGGGATATCCATACTATCAGTGCATTGGGATCGAGGACTTCAGTTGTCCATCTGAGAAGCCGAGGCCCACGCCCACGCCCGTCCCAAGTTCTGGGTTGAACGATAGACGCGTCGGTGAGAATGCGATGGGCGTGTTGCTTTTAGGGGTTTTGCTGCTCAACTTTATCCGAAGACACCTGTGAAATGTTCATGTTTGATTTTTGGGCTGTATTTTTGGGTTGGATTTTGGTACTATTTATCTTCGGCCGCCTTTGGTAGGAGGGTGGCTGTACACTCCGGGAAAGCCGGGGTGGCTGCACACTTTGGAGTGTGGGGAAAAAATGCAAACAAATCCGAAAAATTTCTGGGAGGTAGATCTGACCTTTGCGATCACCTAGTATTTTTCCCCGTCCGTTCGGCCTCCCCGGACAGAGTCGAACTTCAGTCTCTTCTAGCTATATTCTGAAACTCCAACCATAGGTCCTGGGACTCCAACGGACCTCTCCACAGCCAGCACTAAGGCTAGGCACCATCAGCTGCCATCCGAATCGAGAGATGTCAAAAGACAGCAATCAGGGACGTGAGTTCAGGCCCGTAATTTTCTGTAAGTTAGTTGCGCTGCTCCTTTCTCATCTGCCACGGCGTCATCTTGTTCACCGCTAGCATGTTCACCTATTCCTATGTTCCGTCAATGAGCCCATCAGCGATTCACGACTTCTCGGCGGCGGCAATGACATCTGCGTGACCTTCGTGTTGAGCCCGGGGCGGGTGAGGACGACGCCCCCGCCGGCGTCACGCGGTGCTTTTAGGTTCGGCGGAGAGAAGGGGAAAAAGGCGGCGGAGGCTGTTACAAACAAATTATTAACATATATCACATAGATGAATGAAGGTTTTGGGAGGAAGGGATAGATAGAAGGCGAAACATACTGAAGGCCCCGGAGGCTACACACCTCAGATTAACTGCGAGATCTGATTTGTTGAGACCATGACATTCTTGTAACCCGTTTTGGCAGCGCCGCAGGAGAAAATTTGGAGAGGGCGTGCTCGATGAAGGTAATAAGCATAATCTGCGAGTGTGAGAAGACATGTGGAAAATGATGTGGAATGCGTAGAAATGAGAAGAAAAAGTAGTATGTGTGTGACAAATGGAGAAAAAATATGCGGGACTATGGAGGCATGGGGAAGGAAGAAGAGGGAAGACAGAGCGCGGGAACGAAGGCTAGGGTCCCTGAACTTCGGACTCGGCAGCAGATTCGGAGGTTCCTAGTCCGCTTTCCTATGAAGTACTTGGCACAAATGGGGAATACATAGAAAGTGAAGCCCCGAAGAATAGAAGGGAGCTGTGTGCGTTAGCATACTGTCCCATCCAGCTAAGTAATGGAATAAGAGGAAGGGCCGGATGTACAAGGAGAGGTAAGAAGAGGTAAGACATATTTGGCTTAATGAACACCCACATCCCATTCACCATGTCAGTCGTGAAATTATTGAATATTCAGATGTACGAGACGGTGTCATAGATCATGAGCGGGTTGTGCTTGCGTGTATAGGAGGGTATTCGGTAGTTTGGGGAGTTGTATCATTTTTTGCATAGTACATGCAGGAATTGATTAGTACCACAGGAAGGGAGGAGAGAGAATGAAGGGATGACAGAACAAGATGCACTTGGACCCATAAAACTGATCCATGAGAATTTTCTCCTGGTAGGTCACCCAGCTGACACCCTTGTCCGCAAGGTTGACAATGGTGGAGATGTTGGACGGGATGTGGTATATTTTCTTATTGTGCGTCCCAAAGAAGTCGCCACATCTATTCAACAATGGTTGTTCATAGGATGGATGGAAATAGAGGAGGGGAGGGTTCCCACAATTGGACTCAGAGGGGTGGGTGACAAGGAAACAGCATAACAAAAGCACTCAGCATCTAGTGCTATTTTTTTGATTTCCTAGGACCAGTAGAAATACAACAGGAAAGTACTAGCACTTCTGATGTGCTATTGCTAGCACTCAGGACTCTTGCTAGGTGATATAAAGGAGAACTTGAGTGAGCCCAAGCTGCTGGTTGTAGCACCAGACACTACTAGTGTGATGTGCTAGGATGGTCTGGAGGCACAAAACCTGGGGAAATAACTATAAGCCTAAACAGTCAAAGGTGTTAGCACCTAGGAAGCGAGCTACAGGGAAGGAGACACTGTGAATGTGCGAGCAGAGACATAGACAACAAGTCAGAAGTTTAAGGGAGGATGCCTAGGTGCTAGCAACCCTTGGAACATAGGTGCTAGTGCGTGGTACCCGACTAGTGATCTGGTACAGGGCCAGGATAGGCAGATGCAAGCACATGACTGATGTGATGCGGTCACAAGTCGAAAACAGAGACAATGAGACAAATAGGGGAATAGCTAGCAGACTATTGGTGCGGTAGTACAGGCCACTGTCGACAATACGGTAAGTCCTCAGCTGTACCCAGGATGTGGTAAGGAACTCTATTAAGTACCTGTCAACAATATGGCAAGTCTGTACAGTAAGTAGATGAATAAGTAAATATGTATGATGATAATGTAAATGGGAAAATGTACCCTCAGCCGTACCCAGGATGTGGTAAGGAACTGAGGGCCGTTGTCACACATCCGCACCTTAAATATGGTGCGGATACGATCGGCATCGTTGAAACGCTGACTATGGGGCTGGCGGTGAAATAACCACAAACCAAACTTTGTAAATGAATACGCAGTTCGATAATGCAACTACAACAACTTAAACACTATAGTCCTCGTGCAAGTTCGGGGTTCCAATCCAGTATAAATTGTGGCAATTTGAACTTTAGTTCTCTTTGGGAAGCAAGACTTTACAGGTCTACAAGTCGTATAGATAAAACTGCTCGGATCCGTTCTAGGCGCAATCGCGATAGACAGATGAGATTTTATGTTCAACAGTTTTGTATGATGTGGGTCTAGGTTCGGAGATAGTCCTCCGATGCGTAGCACAAGTGATTCTTTATGAATCCCGATTTTAATAGCATCCGCGATTGCTAATCCTTGTGAGATTACAACCAATTGCCAAGTCCGATCCGTTTCCTTATATTCCACATGTCTGTTCCGTTTATCCAATATGTCCACGCGCCGTTTATAAAGATCCAAATCCAACACAGATAATATTCAAACAGGGAAAACAAACGAAACTTGGTATAGCTTCTGGGTGCCTCCAAATGAATGCCTACTCTACCAGTTAAGCGTGAAGTCTAGTAACTTCGCGTCCAACAGGTGGGGTGAGATTCACTCCTGTTCCTCCCATAACCATCCACTTAAATACGTTACAGGATTCTAAATATAAACGAGACTGATACAAACGAGCAATAGGGTTCAGGGTATATGACTAGTGGTATGGCAGCTAACCGGTGAACTCCTGTTAGATATCAAGTGATTAGTAAAATTGAGAGAGATTTATAAGAAACATCAACAAGCCGAACTTAACAATGAGTCAAGATCTACATCGCTTAGAACGATCGTGATGGGGTATTGACGATATGTCAACTTTTAGCCGACCTCCTTGTCAGCACTTCGCTACCCTCCTTGGTAATCATCCACTCAAACGGTGTGATAGCCGCCGCTTCCCAATACCCAAGTATGGTTTCTTAGTCAACTGGTAGATTGACCCAGTCCAACCTTCTCTTGGCAGTTCTGAAGATGTCAGATGATGCCCAACAATGATCCCTCTGGTTCAGAAGGATAAACCCTTGTAATATGCCCTTAGTCAGGGATGTGCAGTAGCCCCAATCCGTTTCCAGGATGGTTAGGCACTTTCTGTGATTGCTTCATTAGCAACTTCCCATGTCAACCCTTTACCAGGATTGTTGTCCAGCGCCTTTCTAATGGTCTGAGACACATTATATCCCTTTTAGCTAACTGCTCAGGCCAGCAATAGCCCTCGTGAGATGACATCGTAATTTATAGCATGTTGCAACTCGAACAGATTTCAATAAATGCCAGGGTACCCCAATACCAGGTCTGTCATCGTGACACTAAATAGTGGAAAAGAAATGTAAAGAGAAACCGATCATTAACCAAATGTGGATGCGAGACACCATCTTCCGAAAAAGGCAGCTTTGCGCCTCAACACCCCCCCTGGCATCGAGCACCTGTCTTCCTCCAATCCAACCCCATCTCCCCAACAATCCGCTCGTGTGTGATACATGGGAGCGCCTTTGTAAGGATGTCTACGATGTTCTCCTTCCCCGGGATTGACGACACAACCAGCTCACCATCTTTGACATGCTGTGAGGTGTGACCTCAGGCTGGAGTGTGCAGCCGGGTTCATCTGCCCCAAGAACAGTAGCTTGGCTCAGTGGTTAGACCCTGGAGTCAGAGCATCTTAAGCGTAATAAGGAGGTCCCAGGTTCGATTCCTGGAGCAACCATTCTTTTCCATTTTCACACACCAAGGCAAAAGGCATAGTTACAGCGCTCGCAGATATAATGCCACCATATGTCGAGATGCTTAGAGAGACTGTGCTCCTTGTTCGTCTCCGTTAAGCTGATGGATCCGAGGTTGTTGCCACGGAGCTGGAACAGCATCTCCTGGGGTAGAAAGACCTCAGAGAGCCAATTCTTGATCCACATGGCTCGCTGGGCACCTTGGGCGAGGGAAATGTATTCTGCTTCCAATGTCGACAACACCACGATTGGTTGGCATTTCGCAGACCAGCACACTGGTGCTCTGCCCATAAAGAAGACGTACCCAGATGTGGATTGTCACGTGTCCATGCACCCAGCCCAATCTGAGTCGACATATTCCTCTGGCTTCAGCCCCAGGCCTCCACGGGCATTGGCGACGGTGCACGGGTTGTATCGAATCCCATAGTCGAGTGTTCCCTCCATGTACCGCAAGACACTGATCAATAACACCCAGTGCTCCAGGTTGGGATTCGTCTGGACATGACCTAGCGTGCAGCAGGCATAGGAAAGGTCAGTCCGTGTACCGCTACCGCCCCAGATGAGAGTGCCGAGTATGGGACGGAATGGCTTGTTGTGCATGAACACGGCGTCTTCAACTGAGAGCGGAAAACTGGATGCGCGGACCTGATAGCTGGGTGGGAAAGGTGTTGACAGCGGAGGAAGATCGCTGTAGCCGAAATGCGCCAAGACTTTCTAGAAATATTGCGTCTAGCTCAGCGCAATCGACCCGTCTTCAAGCTTCTCCATGGTGAGTCCGAGCAGCAAGGCGACCTCAACCTCTTTTAAATCCCACTTGTCAGCAAACTCCTTCACGATGTGCTTGCTCTCCTCGTCTGTGTGGGTGGAAGTGATGGTGTAGGTGTCTCCTCATTGTTGGGTACAGTGCCAGACAATCAAAGTCGACAAATTTGATGAACCATTTACCTGGGTCTCGGCAGGTCATCGGTAAGCTTTTAAACGATGGGAAAGGTGTTTTTACATCCAAATGGTTCATCTGGCACGAGCCAATTTCCCTCAAACTCAAAATAAGTTTTGACCATCTCAAAATGTTGGCCAAGCACCGAAAATTAGCCGAAAAATACCAAAAAAAATACCAATCGACTCCTTTTTGAAAGCGCTATCTGAATCCGTTAAAATCTGAGAAATTCCACGAGCCGTTCTTCCAAAAAATCGATTTCCTTTTTGGGATACCAGGTGGGCCGGATCGTGATTGACCAAGATTAGATTGTCCAGGGCAGCATGGATACCTTGAGGCACAGTGCATTGTGGATACCTCGAGGCACAGTGCATTGTGGAAACCTCGAGGCACCTCAAGACACGGCTCACACTATTCCATTGCACCTCTCACTACCACAATATGGCTCCTGGGCGCGGCCGCCCAGCAAAGAGAAAACCCAACACATCTGGACTTCAGAACCAGAAGCCTCGCACTCCTGCCCCTGAGCCTGAGCCAGCACTGGCTGAGCCAGAATACAGTCCTGACTGGCCAACAGACCTTGCAAGCGATGACGAGTCGGAGGAAGAGGAGGCGAATTTGGCTTTTGAAGATGGGATGAAGTCAAAAGCTGCCTCAGATGTTGATATTGATTCAGATGTGGAAGTGGAGGATGACCAGGACACATTTTCCCTTGCCACAGAGGCTCTCGATGACGAGGTGCTGCTGGAGAAGCTTCTTTCACAGTCGGAGAAGGTTGGGGAGGATGCAGATGATGAGGAGTGGGTACCAAGTCGTGTTCGATACCAACGGCAACGGCGCAAAGAGGAAAGAACTGGTGTGTGCACTGCAATCTAAATAAAATTTGTGCCAAACAATATTTCAGCCCGGGGTAAATACAAGAAGGGTCCCGATGTTGCATCCAAATCATCCCGTACCCAGCGGCATTACCGTGATTCCATTGCCAAGCAGACCAAACTCAACTTCACAAATCATCCTGGTTCACGCACCAGTGATGGTCTGCATGAGCCTCTGTCCACCATTGAAACAGCAGCAGTCTCCGACGGTTCTGCAATGTCTGGCATTGAGGAGGATCTTCCAAATCTCCTTGATGATGACTCACGATCAGAGGCATCTGCAATGTCAATTGACGGCAGTGCCAACTCGGCAGCAGGTTCAGACTCTGATTTGCCACCAGATCATGCTCTGCCTCCCTCTCGACCTGAGGATGATGTGATGCATGAGTGGGAACTGGAGGCCGAGTACGAGACACTAATCTTCGGGGGTGTTGATGAAATTCGGGACTAGGGCACGCTACGGGATCAGATCAAGAATGATCTCAAGAAGAAGGCGAAAACCCTGACTCTTTCCCAGTTCAACCAGCTCACAATAATTCGTAATTTCGCCACTCTTCGTCTCAAAGGTCTTGGTCGTCTTGCTGCGAGCCAAGCGATCGCACACCAGTGGCATGAGGGCGAAGGCCACCACTTCGCTCGGCAGGTTCGTGCTTTGGCCCGGCATTACCAGCACTTCGAGAAACTGCCTGTTGAGAAGCATGGCGGCCTGCGCACCTCTCAGAAGGACACCATTATTCCTATCTCCAACTCTGTACCAGCTGTTCACATGCGTGGCAAACCCCAGAGTATGAAGACAAGCAATGGTCTACAGAAGGGGCTGAAACAAGTTCTCGAGGAACGAGGCTTTGAAAATTTGGGTAAGATGCGGGCGAAGTGTAAACTTGTCTGCCCTTTTGAGAGCCAGAACTGTTGCATGACTCGTCTTCTCAGCCACCAGGAGGATTTTGCCAACCAGGTCTCTATGCTTGAGCAAGTCATCACCGAGGCTGGACACCTTTGTATTTTCCTTCCCAAGTTCCATTGTGAGCTTAATCCAATTGAAATGGTCAGTAATTTCTTTCTCTATTCTAACTCAGATTTGACTGAAAAATACAGTACTGGGGTTGGTGCAAATACCGTTACCGCCAGATTGAGAAGAACACTTTTGATCAAGCAAAGAAAGCTGCCTTTGATTGCCTTGATGCTTGCCCAACCGAGGTCATCAGAAAGTTTGTAAATCGTTCTTGGTGCTTTATGGATGCATATCGTAAAGGATTGATGGGGGACGCTGCCGCATGGGCAGTAAAGCAGCAAAAGGGGCATCGGAAGGTGTCACAGACAGCGATGCTGAAGCTTGTTCCAGGGGGCATTCCAAACTAGGGTACATTAAATATTTTTCTGCTGTACCGAGCCCAAAAGGGGTACACAAACTTCATTTTTTGACCTCAAAATTTTGGCCGCAGCTAAATGTCGTGGGAAAAACTTCGGAGCTGGTTTTTTGGCCCTTTTTGAGGTCTGGGAATCTGAATCTAAGCTCAGATTTACTCAGAAAATTCGTGTGCACCGGCAATCAGACTTGTCGACTTTGATTGTCCGGCACTGTACAGATGCAGGGGTCGGCAAGGCTTTCCTTGTAACCAAGGGCAGTGTATCCTGATGCGAGGAGTTTGTACCAGATATCACCCACTTGCACCAGCCCATAGAGCGGTTGCAAAAGCAAGCACACACTTTCTCCTCCTCCCCCTGCTTGGTGAACCCCCGCGGCTGGCGCATGTAAACCGGCCAATCCATCACTCCATTCAAGTATGTCCCCGCAAAGTCCCACTGCCTGACGTGTAGCCCCTTCACTGCCACCACCGCAAATATCATCCGGACCGACTCCATCCTCGCAACCATTGCCCATTTCACTCCGAAATCTTTCCCCTCAACCATCTTATCCCCTTGCCTCAGCCCATGTTGTAGTATAATTGTGCAATATCCCGAGACCACTCGGGGGCCGTATTACAAAATATGCCGAGAGTTGTCGGGTGTGGGAAAATGGCCAGAAAGAGGTAATGCCCAAAAAATTGGCCACAGCAAGAATTGAACTTGTGACCTTCTGGTTGCATAATCAGGCAGAACCACAAGGGCTATACTAAAAAAATGTTTATCCCAGCTAGGCTAAGCCCAGGCTTACCCTACCTGGGGCTGCTGATACCCACACCTAGGGCAGGCAAGCTGCCCTAGGTCCACCGACGGCAGTGTTACTCTCTATCATCTCGAGGCGGTACATTGTGAATCGCTTTTGGCTATGCATGCATGTGTCTGTTGCACCACTGTCAAGAAAGGTGGGAAGGCGCAGTGTGTTGTGTCTGACGCCGGCCATATAGGTTGAAGGAAAGGTGGACGGGGATATTACAGGAGCTACGGTACATATGATATGCTCGTTCAGAAGGGCAGGATGTGGCCCTGAATGTCTGAATCTAGGGAGCATATCAACAACCGGGGATGATGTGGGGAAGGGGGATGCATCATCGAGCTGCTTTTCAGCGGCGAATATGGGGATGCTGGATGTTGACATAGGGGCAATTTGGGATAGGGGTATTTGGGTGAGTCTCAATCCTCGGGCTTGTATACACAGCTGATTTTAGGACGGTGTAGCTCAAACATGTCTGACTGCGAATCTGTTGATGATACGGTAAGTCCTCAGCCGTACCCAGGATGTGGTAAGGAACTCTATTAAGTACCTGTCGACGATATGGTAAGTCTGTACAATAAGTAGATGAATAAGTAAATATGTATGATGATAATGTAAGTGGGAAAATGTACCCTCAGCCGTACCCAGGATGTGGTAAGGAACTGAGGGTTGTTGTCACGCATCCGCACCTTAAATATGGTGTAGATACGATCGGCGTCGTGACACTAAATAGTGGAAAAGAAATGTAAAGAGAAACCGATCATTAACCAAATGCGGACACGAGACACCATCTTCCGAAGAGGCAGCCTCGCGCCTCAACAGCCACCACTGATGCGGTGATGGTTAAACAGACTGCTAGCTAGTGCTCTGACCTGTGCTAGATAACTCCAGACAGCAGATTCAACTCTTCATTGTCAGGATAAGAGATGCCAGCAACAAGCGGCAGGCTGAGGAATTTCCAATATACCCAGAAATGGATGCTAGCAGATCAGCACAGCTGGTTTGCCTGGCTTAGAC